AGGCATACTACCCATTTGTCCCAGGGGACTGTGTATCACCTCCAGCATGGCTACCTCGGGCCTACAGCACAGACAAGCTCTGTTTGCCCACAAGCTGGGAACAGCCCTAAAACTGCCCAAAAGCCATCGCATCCCACCAATGCCGGCACCTCTCGGGGACCTTCCAGCTGGCTCAAGCCCTGCCTCTGTTTGCTGGTGCAATGGTGCCCGTATCCCACAAGATGCTCTCCCTGACACAGGCGCAACACTGCACACTGCATCTCCACTTCACCGGTGCCAGCAGGGAGCAAGGCGGGAAGGGTGATGGGTGGCGAGTGCCTGAGCTGCCCTGGGAGCTGCCCAGGCTGGGGGGGAGGGAGGGGCAACTTCCCTGTGAGCCAGCTGGGACAAGCCAAAAGCATCACTGTCTTCTCCCCACTGCTGGATACCTCTCGGCCAGGGAGCAGCTTTTAGGGGTGCCCCATGGTCCATGTCAAGCAAAGACAGCTCCTTCTAAGCAACACCTGGAACCATTAGCACTGATTTTGTCCAGCATGGAGGACACAGTGTAGCAGAGGCTGGCTGTGTACCGGGGCACCAGAGAGCTATGCTGTCACACTGTGCCCAGCATCCTACATGAACACAGCCTTTCCTCATCTTCCTCCTGTGGAAATGGGGAGGAAATTTCCCAGTGTCTTAGGAAATGACTGGCCTCAACCTCAGTTCAAGCCCTTCTTGTAAAACTCAGCCTGGCTCAGCTCTGGCGTCAGCACTGCGCTGGACAGCCGACAGCCCCGCAAGCACTCCTGTTTCAAAGCCCCATGCAGAGGCGAGGGCAGCCTTATTTCCTTCCTCATCAAGGCGGTGTTCTTCGGTATAACCACGAATCAAAGCAGTTACTGTAACTGCGGATACGACACTTGGCCGGGCACACTGGCAGGGCTGGTGCCACGCTGGGTGAGCAGAGGTACAGAGCGAGGGGGAGTGTGGGGTCCCACGCTGTTTCCCAGTATCAGAGCAGCAGGTCACTTGTGCTCCCAGCTCCTGAGAAAGGCCTCCCCAGTGGCTTCCCCACACCGTCCCCAGAAGAAATGCATCACAGCAGCAGTCCCTGGCCATCGATGGCCTGCGAGGCAGCAGTACCCTAGGGAGGCACCTCAGGCACCCTGTGCTTCATCCACCTTTCAGCATGGGCTGTGGCAGCCACCTGAGCCCCAAGACACACTGGGAGAAGTTTCTCACATGTAACATCTTCCTTAAATGTATGTATCAGAACATGCCCAAAATGTTGCGTCAGATGTCAACAAAACCCTGCCCATATCCCTTTCAGGCTGGATTGCAGTGGTTCCCTGGAAATTAGTGATGTTTTTCTGATTTATACCCACAGAGCGCTTAGCCTGGGCGCCGAGCTTCCCCAAGCCACTGGCATTACTAAATGGGGGCAGTTACAGTAATTCATTACCCCAAATCCAAATGTCAGCTCGCAGGGAGGGAGGAGGCAAGATTAGCGGAGTCTGCTGAGATGTGGCCACCAGCATGAAAGCCGTGACAGACCTAACAGAGATCAGTCAGCATAAATGTGTGTGATGCAAGGACGTCGACTGAGATAACGCAGTTGTCAAAGGCACCATGAGATTTTTATTTTAACCTGTGATTTTTTTCCGTAATTGTTTTGCAGCTGGAGTAATTACCATCCTATTTAATGAGCACAGCTCCTTTAATAGAGGACACTTGGGCTAACATGCACTAATTAAGTCTGTAATCACTAAAAGCATGATTGAAGGGTTTGAACTGGCCAATTACTCTCAGTAATAACATAATGGGAGATGTTGCAGCGCATCAGAGCACAGGACAAATTCAAGGGGTTTTGGTCACCCAATGGTGTACCCAGGTCTTGATCCTGCTGTGGCTCATCCTTTTTACCTGATATTCTGCATTGGTTTGCAGTGGTTTATAAGCTACCCTGAATATTTTACACTCAGGCACGTAAACTGAAGTCACTTCCACAGTTTTATTTTAATAATTTGGCTTACGGGTCTTGTATACCACCTGGGCATTAAGCCCAGCTTCTCTAATCCTCACCTGTCAGACTGCTTGTCTCATGTGGCCTCAGCAGCAGCAGCGGAAGACTCCCCGGGAGCTCTGACAGCAACAATTGCAGCGCAATACTGAAAGAACTTGAAAAAGGTAGCTGAAACCATAAAATAAACCCTTCTGTTCCTTCCTCTGAAGGAAGGCTCAGAAATGAGTGAAAAAGATTAGGAGTTTTCATAATCTAATGACCAAGATAAGGGGACCTGGCAGCATATTTCTTTCTGCCTTCTGCAATGCAGTGGAGGCAAACATGCCTCTGGGATTCAGTTTTATCTTCTCTTTGGGTTATCAGGAAGTCAGGCTTTCTTTCTGCTGTTGGCTGTGATTAGCTGGCCACAGTCATGTCTGAATATTTTAAGACCGCAGCTCACTACAGTGGAAAGAATTTTTAAAAAACAGAGCTTAAAAAGTCAGACATTTTTATATCAAGAAGGATTTCAAGATGAGCTTGTTTACAGATATGCAAACTTGAGGCAGAGCAGCTAATTGCTCTGCAAGAAATCAGTCACTGAAAAAAAATGTCTGGTTCTCTGTCCCATGTACTGGTCCAGGGGCTTTGGTCTCTGGGCTATTTTTTCCAATCCGGGTTATTTTAGGCAATTCACTCATGCCTCTCATCTTAAAATAAAGGCAATGCCATAAAAAGATGGCAGTATTTTTCCATCCTACCATGACGCAGAAAGGCCTGGGCCTTTCTCACTTGTTTTTCAAAGGTTCCTGGTTGAAAGTGCAGCAGTCCTGGACCAAAACGCTGCAGTTCGCACACAGGCACAACCCAACGGGCTCAGGCAAGCTTGGCCTTTGGTTCCCCTTTCTCCTTTCACGCTTCCCCACAGGAGACACCTCAATCCATAACCACAAAGGCCTCCCTGCAGCATCCCCGCTGGCAGCCCCGTCAGCACGGGGGCTCCTTGACGGCCATGTCACAAATCTCCCTGCATTCAGGGTAGCAGTAGCTACCATCAGACTTAATTCCACCCCTCAGCCATTGGCAGCCGGATCTGCTCCCCGCCAACCAGGCTATCCATGCCAGCAACACCCAGCCTTGCTGCCGTCAAAGGAAGATGGCCTCGGTGCTCTGGTTTGGCTGGCGCTTTTGCGAAGCTGCTGCGCGGTGGGTGGGCACAGCTTCATTTGCCCATCTCAGTCATCGTTTATCTTTCAGAAACTGAAGTATCTAAAGTCTCTGTCTGGGTATTTTGCAGGAGCGAGACTTGAAATGTGCAGGCCAGCAGGGTCAGGCACCGTTGGACACAGCACGAAGCCCACCGGTGCCGTGCCGCCTCTGCTGCAGCCATGCAGGGCCCAGGAGACAGCGGGGGTTCGGGGCTCATTGCAGTGGCACAGCCACTGCTGCCAATTGTCCGCATTTGGAAACACACAGAGCCATTTGCAGCCTTTCTGCAAGGGCCTGTCGTCCACACGACATATATAAATAAAAATAATGAACCGTGTTCAATTAATCTGCTGTGAAACTATCTTGTGGGTGGTACTATTGCCCGAGTGTGGCGGGCACAGCTGAACGTGCAGGCAAAAGGCGCCCGAATTCAGCCGGGCACGGGCTGAGGCCCCTCGCCTCTGGCGACCAGGCGGTGCCACCAAGCGCAATGACGGCCCTGGATCTCGCCGCCACTCGCCTGCGCCGCGCGGGCCATCGGAGGCCCTGTTGGCGGGGGGGAGCCCG